AAGGTCGTATGTAATAAGGGCGACACTGAAAATTTTTAGAACTGACCACTTATAAACGATATAATAAAAAAATAAGTTCAAATTTTGAAAATGGAACTCTTTGCCAATATTATTGTGTATGTATTTTTACTAATTTGTCATTCTTTTACGATTTGGCGACAAATTAAAAATTGTCCGTGTCTAGTCAGCACGAATTTAACACGAGAAAATTATCGTACAATAATTTTTTATGACTTTCGATGTCATTTAAGTCAACAAGAAAGTTAGGATAGACTTGGCCTTTCACGTTGAAGCCCCATCTCGTGCCACTGTTTACAACTGGTTTAATGAGTTTTAACGTGACCGCACTAATCTCACCGATGATATGCGTAAGGGACGGCCTTCTACGGCGACGACTGAAGATAACATTAGTGTGTGATAGAGATTCACAAAAGAGTGACTTACCAGCATTTTCGGACAAGCTTAGGCATCGATACGAATCAAGTGCATAAAATCCTCCATGAACATTAAGCGTTCAGGAAGCTTTGTACCTGGTGGATATCTTATAATTTGACAGAGGCCCAAAAACTCCGTCTTGTTGATTGGTGGTGAAATGGTTCAAATATTTAACGAAGGTGACTCAAATGCTGTGTTCGACATACTTACGGGTGATGAAAGTTGGATTTATTGTTGTGATCCTGAAATTAAGAGACAGTTTGCTGTCGTGATGTTTCCTTACGAGGAGTTGCAAACTGAAGAGAGGTCGAAGCGTGGGAAAAAGACACTCACAGAAAGCAATTTTATTGGCTCTCTATATCCTTCACATTGAAACCGAGCAGTGATAAGTAAGCGAGTGGTACCCAGGCGGATTTCTCGGCAGCAAAAGGGTCCTACCTGTTGGTGTTCATGTTTTCATCAAATATTTTATGAAAAATCAGTGCAACGTATCGTAATTTATAAACTGAACTAAACCGTTTTTCCTTGAACAAGACGTTTGGAAGGTATTAACAGAATTTTAGACAGTGCAAAGAAATTGCAGCTACAAGAGAAGGGTTTGATAAGAGTCTCAACGCGTAAAGAGTATTCGAGAAAGACTTAACGGTCTCTTTAAAACATGCCTCGTACAATCACTGTGAATCTACAGAGACTTTAATAATCTATTAATCTCGTATCGAATGAATAGAATTGAAATATAAAAGGGAGATTACTCTAATTTAATTACGTTTTGATTGTTCTGATCTAGTTGTCATTCGTTTATCATAATAAATGAATGTGTTTTTGTTGTGACCGACAAATAAGTGACGAACTGATGCCTTCCTAATTACTGGGATTATAAACGGTTCCGGGATTATAATATGAAATACATTATACCCTATCAAACATGGCTCAACAACATCCAATATTTATACTTGTTAGAGCTCAGCTAGAGGGCAGCACAAACAGGGAAGGATGATGCTCTCCCAAAGTAGCAGCTTAATGCGGTTGTGTTTCGGATGGTACTCACCTTATAGAGATACAGAGAACCGCAAACCCTATTTAATGGAAACAAGTCACTGTATTAGGTAACAACGCATCTGGATATAAAAAGAACAGAAACTTTTTTGAATAAAACTAAATTTTACGGATTTTATCGCGTTTATTTAACTGATTTTACTTTTTTAATTCCCCATGACCCATGGTCACGGGGGGGGACTGAGATGTTTGACGTCCCAATGTCATAGTTAGCCCGGCTACCTTCAGTTTTTTAATATTAATTTTTCGGTCCGATTTACGCAAAACGAGCTTACAGTATCTTGAAGTCTTGCAGTGGTATGCTTGGGTTTGGGTTTAATTTTGTTAATTATAGGATCCCAAGTAGATGGCAGCACCCATCCATCTTCTCTATTGAAATTAGGATGTTTTTTAATTTCAATAGCCTCGCGTATCATCCTTGGTAGGAATCGGTGTCTTTTTGCGAGGACTTGTGGTTTATCAAATCTGATGTAATGGTGGGGACGATCTTGATCTTTTTTATTCAATATAGATTATATATAATTAATAATATTGAATGTCACTTTTGTAATTTACTACTGGTTCGGAAAAAAACTTCTGTCCTGGGAAGAATCAGCAAGAAACTCAACGGGACCTTAAAACAAAGAGCTTACAATCATGTATGTTACAATTAGTTATATATTGATTCTTAACCTTTATGTACCGATGTGGTTTTTTTGTACCGCAAGTACCGATGTGGGGCCCGAGAGGCCGCATACAAATAATCAGTTTTTTTTAGAAATGGTTTATAATTTTGGTCAAATTTTAATTTATTTTGATAATATAGGTTTCTTAAATGAATGGAAGAAGTAAATTAATAATCTTATTTATTAAATTTAACATTAATATGCTTTTTAATCTTTGGCTCCATTTTGTGACTACAATAGGACACTTAACGAAATAAAAATCTTAAAAAAAGAAATACCACTTCGGAACTAGAATATCTTAACTTTTCTTATACTTAAGGGATGTCTATCAGAAAAAAAAATAAAAATATCTGGAATGCTCAAAATAAAAAAAATGACAAACAGCAAAGTTACTTATTCACAATCAAGACACACTTGCTTGGCACACTGTAAACAAACGTGTTTTTTGCATGAGTAACATTGATATGTTGATTTTCTGTTGAGTTTAGGTGGGCAAGATGCACATATTTTTCTCGTTTTTTCTTGACTCACTTGACGTTGAACTTTATCTGGCATATCAGCACCGAGTATTCTAGCCAAACTCATGCGAAGCTCGCGAGGCAAGCGCAAGTTAAACACCCTTCTCTTTATGTGCTCTAATATGAGCTGATGAGCTAAATGTTTTACGAAAACATCCCGTTCAGTTTTTTATTTAGATGCACATCATGTAAAATATGAGCATTTACGCAACTTATGTCCGAAATCCGGTAAAAAAGTGTCATAGGTCAGCGTCTCGATCGGCGACTGCAAGTGTATATCGAACACTTTTTTATCTATTTCGTCCAATCCTCCTTTTGTAGAATTATAGAATTGTATAATTTCAGGTTTGCCTGGATCATTATATTCCTTCAGTGTGATGCATCGAGGAAGCTAATATCGTGGCTTTGTTTTTCCTAGGTACATGGGAAATAAGCGTTATCTCTTTTGTAAAACCGTACAACGTTGAACCTTCTTGTCTAGATTTAGTCGGTAAAAATTCAGGAGGGATTTCTCTTTTTTTTTCTTTACAGTGCCTACGCATGTAATCCTTTCTGTTTCAAAGAATTTACTAACTGAATAGAGGTAAACCAATTATCACATGTGATATTTTTGATGCTGCCTTGTAATGGTCTCGTCAAACGTAGCACGGCTTGGGTAATAATTTCTTTTCTTCCTCTGTCAGGCTTTCTCCATCTGAACCCTTTCCACAATACACGTAACCATTGTAAAAATATCCGTTTTCAGCATCACACAAACACATTACCATTAGTCCATATTTTACCGGCTTACTAGGCATGTAAATCATCAAGAAAGACCGTCCCCTAAAAGGGACTAGCATTTCATCTACAGTGGCGTATTGGCTCATATTATACACTCTTTGGGAATTTGAGACAAATCGATCAAAAATAAAAGATATTGCCGCTAATTTGTCAGATTCTTTTCTTTGTTCCCTGTCGGCAGCATTAGCAAAACGTAAGCAATGTAACAAACACAAAAACCTATTTTTTATGACATTACACAGCGAAAAATCTCCCTTCCAGTGCCATCCGTAGCAAAAATAAAATCTGCGTCTTCGTCATTTGATTGGAAAACCGCTGTATACATCAAAAGCCCAATGAAAGCTAGCAGTTCAATAATGTCTATATCTTGAAACTCCGATCGATCTTAATTTCTAAATTTTGATCTTCATCATCATCATCATCATCACAGCCCTTCACAAGTCCACTGCTGAACATAGGCCTCCCCCAAGTAGTGCCACAAAGCACGGTCCTGAGCCACCTGCATCCATCGACTTCCTGCATATCTTACCAGGTCGTCACTCCATCTAGTGGGGGGTCGCCCTACACTACGCCTACCGGTACGAGGCTGCCACTCGAGAACCTTTCTTCCCCATCGGTTATCGGTTCTTCGAGCTATATGGCCGGCCCATTGCCACTTCAGCTTACTAATTCGTTGGGCTATGTCGGTCACTCTGGTTTTACTGCGGATATCCTCATTTCTGAGTCTATCACGCAGAGAAACTCCGAGCATAGCCCTCTCCATAGCTCGCTGAGCGACCTTGAGCGTCCTCATACGGCCAGCAGTGAAGGACCACGTCTCTGATCCGTAAGTCATCACTGGCAACACGCACTGGTTGTACACTTTAGTTTTCAGAGATTGAGGTATACCTGACGAGAAGATGTGTCGTAATTTCCCGAACGCTGCCCAGCCGAGTTGAATCCGTCGATTGACCTCTCGGTCGAAGTTGGACTTACCTAGTCGGACTATTTGTCCCAGGTAAACGTACTCGTCAACAACTTCGAGCATAGTGCTCCCAACAACTACCGGCATAGGTGTGACATGGACATTAAACATGATCTTTGTTTTGTCCATGTTCATCTTAAGACCTATCCGTTGGGAGGCACTATTGAGGTCATGAGCATAGTGCTTAAGTCCTCAGCGATTCTGCCATAAGGACTATATCGTCGGCAAATCGAAGGTGAGTGATGTACTCGCCATTGATGTTAATACCGTATCCTTTCCAGTCCAGTAGCTTGAAAACGTCTTCCAAAGCAGCGGTGAAGAGTTTCGGGGATATAACTTCACCCTGTCTTACACCTCTCTGCAGTTGGATAGGTTTCGAGCTCTGGTTTTTTGATCTATATTCCAATAATTTAGAATTAGTCCTAGTTACAATTTCTAATAATATGTATGGTATCTATATACTGTTTCCATATAGAAAAGGGAATCCTTGCCTTCATTTTCTGTCAATTTGGAAGTGGGTACTCGTAAAATAATGTTATGCTGTGGGATTCTAACTGATGAGCGGTTTGGAGGACTTCTTGACTACTTATATCTGTTTTTGCCTCTAAAAGAACTGAGCCTGGAAAGCGGTACGCTTTCGTCTTCCGACGAGGGACTGCGACTATTTTCTATCTGAATAAGAGGTTGCTGGGTTGAGGCCTCAGTATCAGATAAATCGGTATCAGTTTCTGTCTCGTGATCGCTAACTTCTGGGATAAAATCATCTCCGATGTCATCTATTTCTGATCCACTGGAATCTTCCGCAATCAGTTCATCGATCAAAGCCTCACTATTTTTATCTAAAAGATTTATAGAGCGCCGAGATCTTTTAGATAGGCATTGTTCATTTGTAGATATTCGTCGTTTACTACTCGACATCCCCGGTGCATTCATTTTTTCGAATCAGCAGCTATTTATCTGAAAATAAGCATTGCAACTCAAAACACATTTAGACAAAAAACTAACATAAGTACCGACGTTGGGCCTGAGAGGCCGCTTCGTAATTTTAAATTGACATAACTTACCACAATCGCGTCAACCGGCAATACCACTACACTCTACAGCGTCGGTGCAACTGAACTTGCAGCTACTGAGGGGCGGGGATTTCTCCTAAGCAGGGAAGAGGTAATACTAACAACGTTACTACCTGCTTCGGCCTGACAGCCCACATCGGTACTTAAAGGTTAATCAAGGATAGGTTACCATCAGGTGGGCTATGTTCTTGTTTGTCACCCCATTATTCTTTAAAAAATATCGTAAATTATTGACTATAGTCAACGAAATCTAAGAAATACCTTTTGACGTTTCACATTAATCATTCCGCAATAACTTTACACAAATGTACGTACACCATTTAAAATAACCTTTTACGTAAATCCGAAGAATTATGAAGTTATCAATAATTCATTACAACGTGTACAGTTTTTATCACTAATTTAAATTCGAATCTTTCATAAAAAGCAAAATATTAAAAAATAACCAGTATCAACTTTCTTATTTGACGTCGTTTCAATGATATGTCGCTATGTATCTTACTGTGTTGTTTGAATGATTAAAATTCATTGTTATGCGAATAATTAGCAAAATTACACAAATAATCGGTTAAAATATTCATATAATCGAATCATTATTTTTTTAATGTATTATTTGTTTAATTATTATTTCTTAAATTTCCTTTAACCATGAAAAAACAAGTATATTTTTTTTCTTTTTCAACGTAAATTTGTGTAGGCAAAAAACTCATATACAAGGCCGCATTGAAGAAACCACTACGTAATTTCAATTTCCCGCCATTTCAGGAGCTTACTGTACGTAATATAATGGTGATTTTGTGTTTCTTTTCTTATTTTGTGACGCAGCTTTAACTTTTTGAACTGTTTCTTCTATATTATGTTGAATGGGGCATCGCGCATCGCTAGCGGACGGACGTGTGTGCATTTTTCATGCGCTTCGCTAATATAAAATGTCAAATCTGTGTGGTTGCCGTTTAGTGGTAAACGAGCTACTTTGTTTTATTCAGTGTAAAATCGACGTGATTGATGAAGTCAGTTTACTACAAATATGTGAATCTAATTTTACGGAGGAAGAAATTGATCGTGCAAAGGCGCTTCTGTTAGATTCTTCAATAACTCGACGAGTGACACGTAAAGGGGAGGGGAAAAACAAAAGACTTCTTCAGGATATCATAAAAATTCTTAAAGAAACGGAGCCTTCTAGCCTTCCAGTGTTTGTGGCGAAGAACCTCAATAGGCTCCCACTCGTAACATTTGATCACGTTGATGTAACCTGTCTTTTAAAGGACATAGTTCTGTTAAAACAAGAATTATTGAACATTAAAAACGTATTGGCTACGCAATCAGATTTGGAGAACCTACGTAAAGATTTAGAACAACAACATACTCGTGATAATAAATTAGAAAAAGAAGGTAGTAAAGATAAAAATAGTAGCTTTGTTTCTATTGAAACTCAAATAAGAAACGATCGATCACCAGTGTTACTACGTACTTTTGGAGGGGAGAGACCGCGCTCGATCTTGGCTTCTGTAGCAAAGAGAAGTGTGTCGAGTGAGGACGTACATATGCGTATTGAACGTCCGTCTGCAACTACAAGTTCGAGTACGGTAACAGTGTTAGGCGAGACTGACGATACGATAACTAACGACATAAATACGTCTGCACCATTACGTAGCCAAAAAGAGGTTAATCTGACAACAACTTATAAGGACGAAGGGTTTGTGCCCGTGTCTTATAAAAAGACAAATAGGAATAGGCAGGGTAGGGCGGCCGTGCAACCACTAGGAGATTCGCTTATCCGAGCTGCTCCAAGATCTCTTTGCTTATATGTATCACGTTTAGACGTTTCAACGACTGCTGATAAGCTCGAGGAGTATATTAAGTGTAAAGGTGAAGAAGCGATAAGTGTTGAACGTATAGAACCTTTTAAGATGACTAACTTTGCTTCTTTTAAGGTAAGGATTAATTTTGACAGAAACATATTTTTATGAACGAGGACTTCTGGCCTGTAGGCATAGTGTTTAGACATTTCTGGCAAAGTAATTCCGTAAGGCATGAAGTTCGTTAGTTTTGTCAGTCAATTAAGAGAAGTGTTGATCATGTTAGAGAACTGTGTAAAGAGTTTGATGTGGTGTCTCTTCAAGAGACCTGGGTGCTTCCCCATGAGCTATCTTTTTTTGTCAACAATTCATACCGAGTTCTCTTTCTATTGTACGTCTGCGGTCGATTCTTCATCCGGAATATTAAAAGGGAGACCATATGGAGGTGTGGCCCTCTTGTGGAGAACTACGTTATTTATTAATGTAGACTTAGTAAATTGTAACGATTCGCGAATTTGTGCTATAAAATCGTATATTAATGGGAATTGTCATATGTATTTTTCTGTTTATATGCCTCAAAATAATCTTGATAATTTACCTGAATTTACAAATATTTTTTGTATAATCAAAAGTTTATTAGAAAATCATTTCGTAAATGTGGCTAGTGCTTTAGGAGACTATAATGCGAATATTAACACGTTATTTAGCAACGAATTAATAAAATTTTGTTCAGAAAATGATTTGATTTGCGCAGACCTTAAATGTTTTAAAGATTTTGAAAATATTTTTACATACATTAGTTATGCTCATGGCACAAAGAGCTGGCTTGATCATTGCATCGTAACTTGGGTCGCTGGTGCGTTTTGTTGCTCTCACAAAGAGCTGGCTTGATCATTGCATCGTAACTTGGGTCGCGTGGTCGGCGTTATCAAGAGTATATGTAACAAATGATGTATTTTGGTCGGACCACTGGCCTCTCGCATTCGAATTCAATTTTAACATAATTGCTGTTGAGAGAATTGTGGTTAATCACGTTAAATCTAGGAACCTTATTTCTTGGGGTAAGAGAAGTGTGGATGAGATTAAAGTGTATGAGTGGTGGTGTAGTTATCTCTTATCAGAATTTAATTGGGACGATCTGCGCTTAATTTCTTCTTGCGATGGCTGTACTTGCGACTCACACAAAGGTTTTCTCGTTAGAATTTATAATAAATGTATCGAAAGTCTTCATACATCTGCTATTAAAAGCCACGTAAGTCAACTAGGGTATGGAGTGACATCGCGTAAACGTAAAGGCACGCCGGGCTGGAATGATGTAGTAAAATCAGCGTATGTGGATGCTAAAGTAAACTTATCAAGGTGGATCGGGGCGGGGGCTCCCAGCTCTGGTTCTCTCTATGATATGATGAAGTAAAGTAGGTCTATATTTAAAGGTCGCTTAAAGTGGTGCCGGAAAAACGAAAGTAAAATTTTATTGGAGCGGATAAGTAACGCGTGTGTAGACAAAAACTTTTCTAAATTTTGGCAACATACATCAAAACTATACAACATGAGGGTTGGAGTTCCGGTCTGCGTGGATGGTGTTAGCGATAAAAAACAGATAGCTAATAATTTTACACAGAACTTTTTGTTGAATGACGGCTATTCTAGTGGTGGCCCTTCTGCGATAGATACACTTGATATGCCTGTTTTATCATATACTCATATTGATGAGAGTATGATGTATAATGCCCTTAAAAAGATGCACCTTGGTAAAGCGTGTGGTCATGACCACATTTCGGTAGAACATTTACGTTGCGGTGGACCCTGGGTTGTGGTGTTTCTCTCGGTTTTTATTAACGCGTGTGTATTAACGCAGGAGGCAAAAATGAGTGTCTTAACACTAATTTTGGCCTCCTGACATAATAAAATGCGTGGTTAGCCCTATTGTCAAAAGTAAAACCGTTAGCAATACGATCAGATCCAATTATAGGCCTATCTCAATCGTTACAACCTGTGCGAAACTATTTGAGTCTATTATTCTAGATATTTTATAGAAATTTATTTTTATAAGTGACGCTCAGTTTGGTTTTAAAAAAAGGTAGCTCTACTGAGTTGGCAATTTTTTCCTTTAAAACAAATAGTAACGTATTACGTGTCACGAAGAACAAAAGTATACGCTTGTTTTTTGGACTTGAGTCGCGCCTTCGATAGGGTAAACTATAGCATCCTGTGGGATAAGTTAAAACTGGTGGGTGTTCCTTCCGACATAATTAGAATCCTTATTAATTGGTATAATACGCAGGTTAATGTAGTGAACTGAATGGCTCGCTCTCGGGGTTTGTATAGACTAATGGGGTTGGGCAGGGTGGTTCTGACTTCTCCTCTGATGTTTAACCTTTACGTTAACGCTCTAATTGAGGAGCTCAATGAAATGGGTATCGGCTGTCATATAGGTGGAAAATGTGTAAACCTACGTAAAACCTTAGTTATGCAGACGATATGGTTTTATTGAGCCCCTCAATCGGAGCCTTAAGGAAGTTAATTTCTATTTGTGAGAGATACGCAGCAAGCCACGATTTAGTTTATAATGCAGACAAGTCTGTGGCAATGGTCTTTGGAGCGCATAGTGAAGATGTTTGTTTACCATTATACCTGAACGACAAAAATTTGAAGTTTGTGACGAGCTTTCGATATTTAGGACATATCGTATCGAGTGACCTGAGGGATGATCAGGACATGGACAGAGAAAGGCGGTCCCTTGCTGTACGTGCAAATATGATTGGCAGGAAATTTAATAAATGCGAGCGAGATGCTAAAATATTACTATTTAAAACCTATTGCCAATCGCTTTACACACCGCATCTCTGGACTAAATTTAAAAAGAAAACCTATCGAATTTTTAAGGTTCAATATAACGATTCGTTCCGAATATTGTTTCGTTTTCCGAGGTACTGTAGTGCATCTACAATGTTCGCTGAGGCACGCGTACCGACGCTCGATGCTTTGATAAGACATCGTGTGGTCAGATTTAGAAGTAATCTTCTCAAATCTGGAAACACGATTATACTAATTTTAACGCAAAATTGTAGTGAAATATTTAAATATTGGTCTAGTATGTTAAGATGTAAGTTTTAATTTGTTTGATGGCATTTATTTAATTTATATTTATTTTTGTATTTAATTTTATTTCAATTTTTTTATGTTTGTTGTCTGTCAATAAATGATTATTATTATTATTATTATTCGCCATGATACAATGAATGTGGCCATGACATAACATGGTCATTTGGCCATGTCACAAAGAATGATTGGGCAAAAGTGGTAGAAAAACAAAAATAATTATTATGGATATCTTTGAAAAAGTCATTAATTTTGACTTCATTATTGAAAATCAAGTAATAATTAAACCGAGATTGGTCAATCGCTCTAGGCCACTGCTGCTTCACGACAACGCAAGACCACACACTGCACAACAAACAACCACTAAGTTAGACGAGCTACAATTGGAATGTCTGCGACATTCACCGTACTCCCCGGACTTTGCTCCAACAGATTACCATTTTTTCCGGAATTTGGACAACTTCTTACAAGGAAAAAATTCAAGTCCAAAATGTGTCCCTTTTTAGTGAAGGTCAACGAACTACCTATGAGATGGCAAAAGTGCATAGATAACATCGGCGCATATTTGATTAATTAAATATATTTTACAAAAAAAGATTGACTTTATATTCCTCCCGTACAAAACGCCAATATAATATGTAAGGACCTATTATTTAAGTCCGGCATACTTCGCCATAATGATGACATACAAATAACTACCTATTCCATAATTTTTTTTTGTAGAATAAATATAAAAATTAAGATTATTCAATATTCATCATTATCATTTTATTTATCTAAAATAATATAATTACAGCAAAATCATTTTAATATTGATGCCTTATCCTGAACATAAAATTTATATGTATATACTTTTTTTTTAAAAAAATTAGTAATCCTATTAATTAACATTACTAATATTCCCTTTAACCACTCCTGGTAAGCTGAAAATGCTTGTGTTAGGAGTGGTTCACGACAGTAGTCGAATGGTGGATTCGAACCCGTGACCTTTTAAGTTCGCGGTCCGCGCCCTGCCACTAGGCTACTGTCGCTTTAACAGAGTAGAAGTATTGTTCCTCAAGCCATTGTTTATATGATACAAAAATATAAAAATTCAACAACTATTTTCTCTAAGGATAAATGAGAAAAATAATATGTCAAAGTTAATTTAAGAGCCGGTACAAAATCGTAGGACTTAACTTTAAATATTATTTCAAAAACGATTTGGTTTTGCAAAAAGTCTAATATCAACTTATTGGTAAGTGACTAACAATAGAATTGTGTTGAATATGTGAATTTTTAATATTGTGAATTTATGATGTTAATTAAAAAAAAATTATTGAAAATATTAATTAATTTTTATGTCCATATCCATAATCCATAAACACTCACGCCTGTCACCCAGAGGGGTAGGCAGAGACTACAGATTTCCATTTGGCACGATCCTGACACACCTCTCTCGCCTCCTTCACATCCATACACCTACGCATACATGCTCGTCGGTTAAGGGTACTCCTAATTTGGCCCGTTTTCAATAAATCGCCAATTTGGTCGATAAATTTTCGCCTAGGACGTCCCTTTCCGACTCTGCCATTCACTTCTGCAACATAAATTTTCTTTGTCACTCTTTCCTCATTCATTCTTTCCACATGACCAAACCACCGAAGCATTCCTTTCTTAATCCTGGTCACAACATCATCTTGCAAACCACACTCTTCTTTTTTTTAATTTTTATGTATGTAAGGGAAGTGGTAGTTTCATAGAACCAGATTTAATTTTGGAAATTATACGATATCTTAGGTTTAGATCGTAATTTATTGTGAATCCAATTTAGTGAACATTTATTTTGATTATAAATAGAATTCAAAAAGAAACCAATTTATGCAAAATTATACGATTTGCGAAATTAAATTATATTATTAGAGTTGAGGTTTTATTATGCGCATAGCATGCTTAAATAGTAACAGGACCCTAGTAATATATATGCTTAAAACATAAGTCTGACTAAATATTGTTTGCTATTTCAATGTAACAAATTTTCTTTAGGGTTAAAGTTAGTATTAAAGGTACTTAACTGAAAGATATGTATGTGATATAAGCTATGTTTTATATTTATTAATTGAGAAGATAATCCTGACAGTTGTTTACGACGTGGAACAATGTCCCACAAATAATTAGTTAGTTTCTATAAATAAAAACGGCTTCTGCCTTTATTATAAAAATATATATTAGATTTAGTTTTGTATTTAATTTAAAGTCATGTATCGTGTAGGCAAAGAGTTACGTAATACGAATACTTACATGAAAATTATTTTTTGTTTTAATTAAATTCACGCATTACGTGTGATAAGCTGATAAACACACTGAACGCGTAATGTGGTAACGATGAGACGGTATAGTAGTTATATACCTATATAGATTTACAGAGGCGGAGCAAGAGGAGCTCCACGGGAGGTTATACAAGGCCCTACATTAGTCTTTCGTAGTTAAAGTCGCTTCCCTCAACTGGCCACATTTCGGTTACCTTCGGAGAAACCGAGGGTTTTGTCTGTGCAATACAGGGTCAGGTTATTAAGACCAACAACTATTGGAGTTACAGCCCAAAAGATGGCACCGTCGACATTCGTGAAACTTGTCGTCATCCCGGTGAGTCACTTAAGCATGTTATCTCTTAAGCATGGCTGGTCTACTGACCGAAATTATTCCTGTTGTTGTTTCTGCAAACGGGCTAATCCTAGTCAGCCTTTCGGGTCATCTGAGGTATCTGGAACTCCGTGACGGATCGCTCCTGGTTCAAGTGCAGAGGGCGGTGCTTCTCGATACCGCCCGCATCGTCCGCCGGTTTCTTTCCCCTTCCTCCTAACCCACGGCCGTTTGGTCTCCCCTGCCGAGGGCTTCCATCAGATTGGGCTTTTATTTATTTATGTATTATTTATTTATTTATATCAGTATATAAAATATATATTTATGTATATTTATCAATTCCTTTTACATATTTATTCAGCTCAACCAGATAAGGATATTCTTTGAATACCCCAGAATAATAATAATTTATTTGACTCTCAATTTAACAGATTCCACTTATGTAGTATATCTATTTTAAATTACAAAACTATATTTCAAAGTAGTTAGCATTAACAATTATACTAGTATAAATTGAGTTACAGCCGCCAGCATCTTCCACCCTGAGTATTATAATACAAATACAATAAAAAATTAAAGATCATTTCACTATACAATACACAAACATGTTAAGACAAATATGGGAAAAAGAAGAGAAAACTTTCTAATTATCACAAATCTGTAAGTGGAGTTTTTTAATTATAATAAAAGTAGATAGCAGAGAAAACCTTTAAAAATTTACTGCTCAATTTACGACTTACTAGCAGCGCAGATTTAACTGAGCGATCGTTTCAAGATACGTAGCAGATTACGAACTTACGAATTACGTAGCGTGTAGCTATAGTAGCTGTGTAGCATCTGTGGGGCGTGGCTTCCCGTAGCGTTCGTAGCAGATACATATTCAGTTGCAAACAATACTCTATAAGTTTAAGTTTACCTGGTACAATTGCACTTATTTAAAATTTTAACTCATTTAAATCGTTTTAATTACTTTTTAAAATAATAAAATACACGTCTAAACTCAATCACACCCAGGGTGGAAGGCTGGAAAGAGGAAAGGTGTTCATACTTTAAACATCAGGAACAAACATAAGCAATTCATTTATGGGTCAATATATACGCTTTTAAAATAAAATCCCAGAAAATGTACAAAATTTGTCAATAACAAGTTTAAATGTTTTGTTAAAGAAAAATGATACAAAAAGGGTTATTATAATATCAAAGAACATATAATGAAGTGATCTCCACCATGATGGTTCCAATAAAATTTATTTAAATATTGTACAAATAAAATTATTATGAAGTGAAATATGTTTAAAATAAATGGCGCGCTGGGTTTTTTTGCTGGTTCTTCCCAGGACAGAGGTATTTTCCCAACCAGTGGTAAAAAAATTACTTTCAATAAGTGTTATGTAATAATCTATATTGAATAAAATTAATTAATTTCGTTAATTTCATTAATTTCTATAACTCAATAATTTCATTAAAATCATTCATTCTGTTCATTTCACTCATATAATTCAATTCTGTAATTTTATTTATTTAATTCATTTAAATAATTTCACTCACTTCACTGATATCACTCATTTCAATTATTAAATTTCATTTCATTTTATAAAATATAGGCCTGCAGAGGGTCGTACGAGAAAGGATCGCTAAACTATGTGTAGTCCTTCCGCGCGTAGCTTAACGTAGCACGTTACTTCAACCGCGCTACGCGATAATTATAACGTGACCGATCACTTCAAGTTTTATTTTATTTGACATTTCGTTTTAGAATTTATTCTCGGTTTAGGACTTATTCTAGTCTGTATAATCTATATAAAATTTACCGTCACAACCTATTCAAGTTTATAGCTGAACATAGACCTCCCCCACAAATTGCCACGCGTGGCAAGCGGGTTAACAACCACATTTTTTAATTTTTACCTTGCCTTCTGTTTTTAAAAAAAAAAATATCAATACGCAATATGTGAGTTTTTGAAATAAAGTTCTCTCAGAAATTAAGGATATGCGATGGGAAACAGATATAAATCTCTGTATATGGTTCAGCTATTTCGTAGGATAATAACAACTAACTATAGGGAAAATAGTGGGAAAGGAGAACGCATTTTCCAAAAAATGTGACAAAGTTAATTATTTAAGTATTATATAATAATTAAATACTAGTATTCCAACAAAATCAGTCCAAGTTCAGTGTTCACCTCTGAGTATAAGGGACTATACAGTCCACAATCGTGCTTCAATGGTGGCACGGAGCAGACAATACGTTAGGCATCAAGACCGGGACCGCTCAAGCGGGCTCTGTAATCTTAGTCGCTCACTCCTTTTAGTAACTTGAGTTGTGTGTGGAATAGAATGTCTTCCACTGAAGTCACGCAGGCCACCATATTTAGACACTCCCATCTCGTTGTCCAGACCCATCATGATGCGGTGCTGGTTCAAGTTGGCATAGATGAATTGTTAATAGCAATTTTAAATGCATATTATGGATAGCCAGTCACAAAATGTCATCGTGGTTAAAGTTGCGTTTTGAATAAATTTTCTCGATTTCTAGATACGCAAATTAATAAACATTTTTAGTAGTTAAAAATGTGTAGAACATTTTTTACTTTCAATTTTAATTTTGCTTCTTTTAGGAATTTCATTTTATATATCTTATGCATATAAAATAAAATTAATATTTCGGAAAAATACTTTAATCACTACACTTTTCTAATAAATTGACTTCTCCCGCTATGAAATCTGTCAAATATTTCACCTCATTCCTAATTGCCGCCGCCCTGTTGGCAGACAAAGTCATGGATGCCTTCATATTTACAGGTTGTGATTATAAAATATAACAGGACAAAGAAATCAATTTCATGTTAAGGTTAATGTAAGCTTTAGCTGCGTAAAAATTATAAGAACAATTTATAATTATAAGCCCAAAGCACATACTAGTGTTCGCACTAGCTAAAATACACTTCCGCAATTCGAATGATAAATAGCCTTACGCGTAGCAATTACTATTGAATCCGAGTTTGAATCCAGAAGTAGAATGAATTTGTTGTGAGTTTTAATAGCATGAGATTCTTATTCTTAAAATTAATAAGTTTACATATAAAATACTTTTAAAAATATCGGTAAGTAACGAAAAGACGGTTGCGACGGTAAAAAAAGTCAGCCTTCTGACACTCTATGTGTAAAAGAAAAAAAATTTAAAAGTCCCAGAAACTAAAGTCATGGTCACGTAAAAATTATGTATGGTAATGGGATGCTAAAAGAGAAATTATGTTTGAATTGCTGTCTCAAAAACAGATGACGACGGCGCAACTTTACACTGAAATATTACAGGGCTTAGCTAAAAATGTTAATGGAAAGCGTCTACAGCGTGACCACGCTCATTACTTCTGCGATAATGCTGGAGCGCATTTGAACTGAAACCACACGTAACAAATTATTCGATTCCTTGTTTGTAGGATCCCGTGCCAACATATGTTCAGTTCATAATTCGAAGGATATTGAAGAAAATGCTTGTATTCATTTAGTCAACAAGGGAGGAACTTTATTATCATATGCTGTGCCTAATCGATGGGGGAAGATCCTGCGATAATTTTATTGATTAATATTGTATATTTTAAAAAACAATAAACACTTTTAAAAATAATGTTTACTCTTGTGAAAACTTATGCAACAACTCATTATTATTTTTAGACCTCTACGGGGCCCTGAGATCTATGAATCTGCCAAAAGGGTAACACCAATAACGTCATCAGAAACCAGAAATTTTTAGACCTGTTTAGTATAGTCCCGATATTATAGTAGGGATCAAAACAAAAGCAATGAAAGGATCACGGAGACAATTTCGATCTAAATACAATACTACACGGCTCACAACGCGCAAGCCTATGGGAGTGTTCTACTCTCGACTTGCCGCTATGTGACGATTTTACAATATAAAAATGTTAGTAGGCATGTCTCAATTTAGACACTAAATCGATAAAAAAGGGATGTTTTGAAAACGAGATGTATTAGATTATTAAGTCAGCGTATTTTTTTAATTCATTGGTTTAGTTGTATCGAACTATAAGAACTTCTTTCTTCATAATTGTCTTCTAAATCTTCTATAACTTTGTTCTTCCGTAACGGTTGTTTCTCACTTGTTGTGTTTTCTTTTTTTGAATCTTCACAGCTTCATCAGAAGATTCCAAACTGGTAGAAAGTCGTGATGAACTATGAGGTTTGTGGCAAGCGAAATAAAAGATGTACCTTGTTCCATGGTCGTTTATTAGTCCTATCAAATACAGTCATACCGAGTAATATATAATAACTTAAAACTACGTCACCAGAAGGTTGCGCGTGTTATAAGCCTAGATATACTTCTGATGCACATACCAAAATGCATTAAAATATACAAACTAAATAATAATTGATTTTAACAGCTCATAATATTGTATTACTACAGTATTTACAAAAATGTAGTTAAAATTATTGGAGTACGGCTGACAGTTATTCTGTGCACTTGTTTGTCTTCACTTTTTAGAAAAATATGGGCAACGAAATGAAATAAATCTTTGTGAATAAGTTTCCATTTATCCTCATGATGATCCCTATTGTTATTAGACTCATAGACGTTTGAAAGATATTTAGATGAAAAAATTAAAAACACTCATAAGGCGTGCACTTTTGGATTTTACAAACTAGTTGTTTCTTGCACGTAATATTAACTTAGAATTAAATACAGGATTATTACAGCAGTTTGGTATGCTTACCCCGTAGTGGTCAATCAACAAAGTATAATGTTTCAGTCGTTATCGGGTACTATCGTGCCGGATAATTTTATAGATAAGCTTGGAAAATGATATGGCTAAAAGATTATTTAGATATTTTTTTGTAATATGTTTATAGATTGTCTAAAACTTGCGGATGTTGAAATTAAACTCCAGATGTCACCAGTAGTTAAACAATTTATTTGCATAATAATTCTAAGACCCTATACGGTTTGCCGTGAAGGAAAAGATAACGAGTTGTAATTCGATGCTAGCGACATCTCTTGACATTTTTCAGTACTAAATACTAAGGTTAGAGTAGAACTATTAGAACTGAAATTAAATGTTTTTAAACATCCCGCCCACGAAAGAATTCCGTCCTTTCATAAAAGAAATTTATACAAACCAAAATTAGTCTATAAAGGAACACAAAAAATATAGAAACTCTTAATAGAAACTATAGAAATTAATTAGGCTTTAGGCTTACATACATCGCCCATGAGATCACACTCAAAGAAAAGGAATAAATTAAAATACTTTAAAAAAATACATATAAATTTGTACTCAACTTTAAGAGAAAAACTCAAAATTAACATCAAACTAACCCTGTAGTTACAACTTAAACAAATTTTTAAACTTAGTATACAGACTTAGGTAGAAAATATAATTTGTTACACGGCCGTTTACAGTATCCGTTCTTAGTTTTAAGCGTTACAACACGTGTAATCTGATCTTTACCGACATGTTTTTCAACAACTCTACCTAACAACCATTTTGCAGGGGTAAGTTATGATCTTTAATTATAACAACATCATTAATCTCTGGCTCAGTTTTTTTTATTGTCCATTTATAGCGTTGATTTAAAGTTACTAAATATTCTATAGACCACTTTTTACAAAAATCGTTAACCATTTTTTGAGTATATTTCCATCTCTGAAGACCAGTTACAATATTCATCAGGTATTACAATAAGTGGCTCCCCAACTAAAAAATGACCAGGCGTTAATGGTAAGGGATCATCAGGATTATCACTGAGATAAGAAAGTGGACGAGAAATGAGACATGCCTCAATTTGAGTTAAGACAGTCGAAAGCTCTTCATACGTTAGCGTAGAATCTCCTATCACTCGCTTTAAATGCGTTTTAGTGGATCGAACTCCGGCCTCCCACAAGCCTCCGAAGTTGGGGGCATGTGGAGGTATGAAATTCCATGTCGTGCCTTCGCTTGCAAGTAAGTGGCTAATTTCGTCTGGCAGATGCGATACAGCGCGATTAAAACTCTCTCTCAACTCTTTATCAGCGTCGACGAAATTAGTACCACTTTCGCTGAACAAGGTCTTACAATGTCCTCTCCTTGAAACAAATCTGCGAAAGGCTGCGATAAAGCCTTTAGCAGTCATATCGGTCAGTGCTTCTAAATGTACCGCCTTTGAAAACATTCAGATAAAAATACAGATATAGTCTTTGTAAGACTTTACTCCTAGTCCAGGTGAAAAACCAATATTAATATGACCCGTAAAATCAACTCCTGAGATCCTGAAGGGTCTCGTTGGTTTTAAACGATCCTCGGGAATTTGGCCCATCAGCTGATTGTTGTTTTGTTTCGAATACCTTATGCATTTCACACAGGTTCTATACTGCTTCTTCACCAAATCTCTCGTGCTCAAATGATCCAGTATTTTGATCTTAAGAAATTAAGCATCAACTGTGGCCCGCCATGAAGCGTTGTAAGGTGAGCATCCACAACTATGAGCTTTGTAAGATGACTCTCACTAGGCATAACTATTGGATGACGAGTGTCATAGTCCACCTTGGCTTCATTAATGCGTCCACCTACTCGTAAAACACCATTCTCATCGAGAACCGGGTTCAGAGTATGTAAACGACTCCTATTTGGGACCCAGTTGTGGGCTATTAAGTGCTTGATCTCTTCTTCAAAATATAAACTCTGTGTCTCCTTTATACAATGTCTCATCACAGTGCTCATTTCGTTGGCTGTTACCGTCTTCGATAAGGTGGGTCTTTGTTTCTTTGGTAGTTTTAAATTCAAAAATCTTTTGCAGTAGGACATCACGCGTAACAACCTTGATAGTGAAGAAAATCTCGTCCAAAGGAAAGCTTCTTTTGGTTGTTTCATAGTCACCAAAGACTTTACAGGCTTTTCTTCTTCTGCAGTCTCAAATTCTTGATAGCCTTGGCTCTCATACATTTTGTTGTCCCTTAGCCATGTGGATCCGTACCACTACAACTCGTGATCAACCAACTCTTCACTGCTTATGCCTCGGCATGCACAATCCGACGGATTATGCTTTGTGTTTACATGTCTCCATTGACTTCTATCCAGTATCGTAAGTATCTCTGATACTCTGTTGCTCACAAAAGTCACCCAACGATGAGGTTCTCCTGCAATCCATTTCAGCACCACGGTGTTGTCCGACCGGACGTATAATTTTTCCTTTGGTATTTTCATAACTTGGGAAACTTCATGTATCAATTTTGCGGCAAGAAGTGCTGCACACAACTCTAAGCGAGGTATGGATATCTCTTTTTGAACTGGCGCCACCTTAGTTTTGGATGTAACCAGATTTATAGCAACTTTACCATCCTTGTCTTCAGTTTTCAGGTAAACAACTGCAGCATATCCAGCTTGGGAAGCATTTGTAAAGGTGTGTAGCTCAACATGATCCTCTCTTTTTGTTTGCAGCCATCTTGGAACAATAAGCCTAGGAACATTTACCAAATAATCTCTAAATTTACACCATTCGCGAAGGAGTTCCGCCGACAAATTTTCATCCCAATCAAGACCAGACTTCCAGAGTTTTTGGATGAAGCCTTTACAAATATCACAGGTGCGATTCACGCGATTGGATCGTAAAGTCTTGCAATGTCGGATAACACAGATCTCTTAGTCACCGTCTCATTCTTCATAGGAAGTTGTAAATTGTATTCGAAATTGTCAGTGCTCTTGTTCCAAGATATACCCAGTACTTTGACCATGTGATTAAATTTGAAACCAATAGTTCCATCCGTACGCAAATTCTCAGTCTTAATGTGCTCAAGTAACTGATCATTGTTGCTACACCACTTTTGTAGTTCGAAACCTCCGGCTCTCATTAGGTTCGTCATCTGCTCATAAATCTCTATGGATTCCTCATAAGTCTCGCATCCCGATAGCAAATCGTCCATGTAATAGTCCTCAAGTGTGATCTGAGATGCCACAGGATACTTTGCAAACTCATCCATTGCCAGCGTTTGCAGAGACTTAACCGCTAAATACGGCACTGACGCCGTACCGAAACCCAGTCGCTTCATTCGAAAATGCTGTATTGGCTTTTTGGGATCTGATCTCCATAAAATGCGCTGTAAGTGAGTATCTGGCTCCTGGGCTATTATCTGGTGATACATCTGCTTAATATCCACCACAATGCAGATCGGATGTCGTCTCTATCTCATTAAGATATGGCATAATTCCTGCTGTATCTTGGGACCGACGAGCAGTTCTTCATTTAAATTTAAACATTGTTCTTTCCATTGCACGAAAAATCAAAGACCAATCTCGTTTTGGTCGTCTCTTTGTCTTCTCGCACAACTGCGTGGTGAGAAGCATACGCATGTCGGATCTTTCACTTGCTCTTCCTCAACGATAGGAGCCATATGATCCTGAATCAAATAG